CTTAAGAATGTATTTAAATGTTTGTAGCCTATTTATCGCTTTTCATATTCTACGTCATTGGTAGATACCCTTGTCGAACTTTTCAGTATCGAAGAACTTTGGCACTATGACATTGCCGTTGAATACACGTCCATCGAGTTCATTGACTGCCTGTGATGGGAACTCGGTAAGCAAAACTACTATTGCACAAGGTGACCAAGGGAAGGGGAAAAGACTTACACGAAGGGCAGAGACTTGGTCCGTAAACCTGATAAAGACCTGCCTCCTCTCAACGTCGATGTATAATCGCTCGACTCGGCCGTACTATATGAGTATATGGTTAGCATGCTGAAAATAACACCCAGAGAGCTCCAAGAGGCAAGGCCCTCTTCCCTCCCAAGCTTACCTTTTCACCGCACTCCTCTCCAATTTCCTGCCCCAACCCATTGGCAATCTCACCCTGCAAGTCCTCCATATTATCCAGCATGCGCTGCAGGACAATAACCTCGCTCATGGGCCCGCCAAATTTCTTGGTGCTGCTGCCGTCAATCTCGTCCTTGCGTTTCCCGCCAATGACCTTTGCGCGGTTCCCGGGCTCGGCCCACCCGCCGCCCTCGGCGTCCGACTTCTTCTTGCGCTTCTCGACTTGTACGCGCAGGGGGTTGACGATGCCGGATTCGTCTGCGCCGAGGCCGGAGCCCTTTGTCCAGCCGTATTTGCTCATGAGGCGCTGGGCGAAGCCGGCTTGGCCTGGGCGGGAGGAGCGCGGGGCGGGTTCTTCTGCTGGTGGTCCGGCGGTGGCGCCGAGTCCGAGGGTTGGTGGTGGGGAGTCTGGGTCTGAGGGGTCTGCTTCGTCTGCTGCGGGCGGTTCCTTTGTGATGGAGGGGGTGTAGCGGACGGGGGCGCGGGATATCGTTGCTTCGTCGGTTGGTGCCGGAGGAGGGGAAGGGGGAGGTGCTGCGGAGGCGGAGAGAGCTTGGCGGCGGGCGTATGCGTCGTCTCCGGTTGCTGCTGCCGCGGCTCGTGGTTCGGCGGGCGGTGGTGAGGTTGGAGGCGGAGGAACGAATGAGTACTCGGCTGGAGGGGCGAACTGGTCTGGGAAGGAGCGTGTAAGGATCGTGCCGTGCTCTCTGCGTAAAGGAGATGGGGGATGGGGGGGAAGACTCACTCATCACCGGCCGGCGCTCCGTCTCCTCGTCGCTGTCATCGCTCAGGCTCTTGCGTCTGCGGTGGCGGTAGAGCAGCCTCTTCCACTCCTGCACCTCGTGGATCCGCTCGTCGCTGCGGAGGTACTCCTCGACGTTTGTGGGCTTCGTCGGGTCGTAGATGTCGTCCCAGTTGGTCTCGGCCGGCTGGTCGTTGTTGCCCTTCTTCTTCTTCTTTCTGCGGCCGCCACGCTGGTGACTTCCGGCTCCGGAGCCTGCATTGGCGCTGTAGCGCCACGCGTCTTCTTCCGTCACGGCCCAGTCGGCGAGGGTGCTCTTCGGTGGCGGGGGCTGCTGGGCGGCTGTCGTCGTTGAGGATGCGAGTGCGGAAGAAGCTGCTGCAGCTGTAGAGGCAGCGGGGGTGTTTGGGCCGGGTATCGTCTTGGGGAAGTTTGGTTTTGGTTTCGCGGTCTTTGCTTGTGGTCTGCGTATGGGCTGGAAGCGGAGGGCTGCGGGAGAGAGGTAAGTTTCTGGTGAACTTCGAGAACATGGTTTAGAGAAGGGCGGCGGTGGTACATGGATCTATGGGCTTCTTCGCAATCGTTCCGTCTTTCGGGTCGGCGACCGTGCCGTCTTGGTTGTAGCGGACGGGGGCGCTCGAGATCGTGGCCGAGGGGTCGGCGACTGGGTCGAGGAGGTTTGCGTAGAGCGACAGGCCTCCTCGCGCGGGCGGAGGTGGAGGCGGCGGCGCAGCCATTGAGCTTGCTTTTGGCGCGATAGGGTAACTTTGAAGGATGAACGTCGTGGCCTGTCTTCGTGTCGAAGGATCTCGGAGGTGTTGTGCGTGGTGGGCGCGTGTCGGCGGCTAGGATTGAAGTTGTCGCAAAAGAGACGACGAGAGTCGTTCAGCCTGGTTCGCAAGGCGAAGTCGAAGCTGCTGGGAAGCTTGCCGGATGGACCCACTTGTGGGGGAGCGCACCTCGAATGTGCAGACCGTAAGGTACGGAGTAAGGTACCTTAAAGTGCGAGGTGCCTGACGTAAAGAACGGATACGAATGCCTTAGGTAAGGCAATCAACCAACCCACCGGTTTGCTGCCGTTCTTCCGTCAGTAAAGCGGAGCCCGGCCGCCTGGGTTTCAGCACATCGACGACCGCTGGGCCACTGAAAACCCACCCCTGCGCGTTCCGGCACAGCGCCCAGCCCGCCGCGCAAGCGCATTTCCATGTTTCTTCGGGGGTCTTTATGGGGGACGAGCCACCGGTTGATCTGGGAAGGCGGGTATTACAGTGGTCCAGTCGACTTCAGTGGGCAAAAGTGGCAGTGGGCTAAGAGAAAGCCGACCGGGGTGATCCTGCTTGTCCCAGGCTGGGCTGGTCCCGAGCACATCATCGTCCTAGTCAGGTTTCCCTATCAGTCGACCATTGTGCCTCAACTTTTGTTTCCAACGTCGTCTTGTATTTTACCTCTATCTCAGGTTGTTACCGTTGAACGGCTCACCCACATAAGCTCCTCGAGTATTCTAATTACCTACTCCAGACTCATCATCTGGGTTCTATCCTTGTCTGGACAAGTTCATCCGATCGTCCACCACCTCACCTTACCTTACTCCAAAAGCGTCTCCGAATTCGCTGGTGGTTGCAACTCTTCAACTGCCGTCCGGTCAGGCACAATCACACCCTGTCATCCAGTAGAGTGAGAGATAAAACTCATCCAGTACGCAAATTGCGCAAAGATGGCATTGACTCTGCAAACCGCCATCAACGGCCCGGCCAACTCCACGGCCGTCATTGTGCCGTCCAAGCCCAATGCTCTCACTGTCACCTACGGCGACCTGGTGAGGGAAACCTCGGCCTTCCAGCAGAAACTGGCCGCCATCGGCATCACAAAGGCCTCGCCCGTCTCCATCGCGACCGTCAACTCATATGAGTTCATCGTCTCCTTCCTGGCCGCCTCATGGCAGCGTGGCATCGCCGCGCCCCTGAACCCGGCCTACAAGCAGGACGAGTTTGAGTTCTACATTGAGGACGTCAAGTCCGCCATCGTGCTGGTTCCCAAGGGCGCCTATGCCGCCGGTGCGTCTGCTGTCAAGGCCGCCAAGAAGTTCAACGCCGCCGTTGCTGAGACGTACTGGGACGAGGCTAAGAAGGAGGTCGCGCTCGATGTCAAGGATCTGGGACAGCTCAAGGGCAAGGGGCCTGAGAAGGTGTTGAAGGCTGAGGTCGACGACGTTGCCTTGGTTCTGCACACCAGCGGCACCACCTCCAGACCCAAAGTTGTGAGTCTGAATCGGTCTACTGGGAGTCAAAAATTTGGGAAAGCTAATGTCATGTATAGGTCCCTCTTACACACCGCAACCTGACCAGAACGATGAGTAAGTCCAAGCCTTGAAGGAGAGGAGCTGAGATGCCAGGCTAACACCAATGGCAGAGAACATCCAAAACACATACCAGCTGACAAGCGAGGACCGCACCATGCTGGTCATGCCCCTTTTCCACGTTCACGGTCTCCTCTGCGGCCTCCTCGCACCTCTGGCCTGCGGCGGCTCCATGGTCGTCCCCAACAAGTTCTCAGCCACCGAGTTCTGGGGAGACTTCATCACCCACAAGGCCAACTGGTACACCGCCGTGCCCACCATCCACCAGATCCTCCTCAAGAACCCGACGCCCAGCCCGCTGCCCGCCATCCGCTTCATCCGCTCCTGCTCCTCCCCTCTGTCGCCCACCGTCTTCCACCAGCTCGAGGAGACGTACAAGGCGCCCGTTCTCGAGGCCTACGCCATGACCGAGGCCGCCCACCAGATGACCTCCAACCCCCTCCCGCCTGCGAAGCGCAAGCCGGGCACCGTCGGCCTCGGCCAGGGCGTCGACGTGCGCATCCTCAACGACGCCGGTGACGAGCTCGCGCAGGGCCAGGAGGGCGAGATTTGCATCCGCGGCGAGAACGTCACAAAGGGGTACCTCAACAATGACGCCGCCAACGCCTCGTCGTACACCAAGGGCGGCTTCTTCCGTACGGGCGACCAGGGCAAGAAGGACGAGGACGGCTACATTGTCATCACGGGCCGTATCAAGGAGCTCATCAACAAGGGCGGCGAGAAGATCAGCCCCATTGAGCTTGATAATGTCTTGACCCGCCACCCCGCCGTCTCTGAGGCCGTCAGCTTCGCCATCCCCGACGACATGTACGGCCAGGACATCGGCGTGGCCGTTGTTCTCAAGCCGGGCCAGCAGCTCAAGGGCGAGGAGCTGAAGGGCTGGGTGCAGGAGAAGTTGGCCAAGTTTAAGGTTCCCAAGAAGGTCAGTTGACATTATTCATGAGATTTTGTCTGGAATTTCAACTAACAAGTATCAGATTTACTTCACCGAGACGATGCCCAAGACAGCCACGGGCAAGATCCAGCGCCGCATCGTCGCCGAGAAGATGCAGCAGCAAGAGGCCCCCAAGGCCAAGTTGTAGACCATCAGGGTTAGTCCCCAGAGATTTGGCGATTGCCCACGGCAACATAGACGATTGTAAGACTGTAGAAGGGGTATCTTCTTAGAGTTCATACATCAGAGACACCGTAGAGAGAGCAGAGATTCCGTCGCAAGAGAAGAGAAGAGATCTTTTTTTTTTTTAGATACCTAGAAAGAAGATAGAATAGAGGGATTTCCAATATCTATAAGAACGCCTGCCGCATATACACGTAACCTAATAACCATTATGCCTAACCAATGTTTCGTGAACCTCATCAGGCAGAGCCGCGGATTCAACGACCCATTGGGATTCATTACACCATGTATGATCCTTTCCCATGCGTCAAAACCCAGGGGATCCCTCCCCCTCCCAAGTAGCTCCAGGGAGGAAGAGAGAAAAACAGAGGAAACGTTTTCCCTTAATCGTAGTGACCCCCCTCATCCAACTCATCATCAAGATCAGGATCCTCCCCCTCATCAGAATCATAAAGCTTCTTCGGCTGCTGATCCCCTGCCTGCTTCTGCTGCGGCGGCGACGCAGACGTAGATTTCGGCACAATGCTCTTTGGCGTAACAGCATGCACGTCAACCCAACACGAGGTCCCGTGGGGCCCATGCCACCGCACAGGATACCTATCCCGCGCAGCGGCGTCCGCCGCGGAGGGCTCCGGCATCCCTTCTCCGTCTCCCGCGCGGGATATCCTCCGCACCTCGGCGTTCGCGTCCGCGAGCGCGGCATAGGCGCCCACGACGGATGTCGTGTTTGTAAAGTCGCCGTCGGAGCCGCCGTCGTTGTACAGGACGAGGGCGATTGTGTGGGGGAAGTCGCGGCGGGAGGGGGGCAGGGCTGCAACTGAGGAGGAGGATGGTGCCGTGGGACGTTTGGAAGGTGGAGGTGTGGTTTGGACTGCGCTTGTTGCGGAGGCGTTGCGCTTGTGCGCTGATGTGTCTTCTGTGGAGGACATTCTTACTGTCATTTGCTTTCTGGTTGATGTATGAGGTTGTGGTGATGTGTGGTGCGCGAGAAAGTTGATATGGAGGTTTTGTTCATGAGAGTTCGGGATTGAGTGGCTGGTGTAAGGTAAGATAAGGTATGTAGTTGTGAGACCTCTATCGGTGAGATGTCAATGGCTTGCAGATGAATGACGCAAGGGATGAACCTTCAAGTTTATTTGATCGTGGGTGTGTAAAGTTATGTAGTAACAGATCATAGGAAAACGCAATCAGGTTCTCCCAGTGCCCTCCCCAATCCTCTTTATATCAATGCCGGAATTCCCATCTCACGCAATTTGTGGATGAGTGATTATATGTCTGATCCCAAGTGTCACTAACAAGATACGGGAACTCGGTGGAGACCGCCCGCCCGGCCGCCCGCCCAAGCTCCAACTCCAACTCCAAGTCCGCCCCGTTTCGCCGTTTCGCTCTTCCCTCGGAGCTGTACAAGCCCGCACTTGCGCCATTGAGTCAAGGTGCGATAATGTCTACGCCGCTGCGCCGATTAGCTAGGTAGCTCAGCAATTTGCTCGGCACTGGCCTGACATGGATCGATTCCAATTGCCTCGGTGGAGCGGAAAATGCATCACAAGACGGCGGGGTGGTCGGGGGTGGGATCTGATCAGTGGAGGGGGCCTCTTGGGAGGAAAAAATCTCGACTGGTCCGATGACCGGCGCAGGTCCCCATTGAGTTGCTCGCGCCGCCCGGGGTGGACAGAGGTTGAGAAACTGCCCTGTGATGACATAGGTACTGCTACTGCGTACCTTACTCCGTACCGACCAACAGACTGGAACCTTGCCCCAGCTTCGGGGTTGAGCTCGAATGCGCGAAGTGCGCGAACCCGGCGTGAACCGACTGTAGCCAGCTGTGCCCCGCTGTGGGTGGGATTTCTAAACTGCTCCCCCAGCGCTGTTGAGGAGGGGCCTTGATTTCTGGAGCTTTACTTCTCAACTGACGTTTGGGACCGGGAGAGATCAAGGACGGGAGGAGCTCGGGAGCTGGCCCGAAGGAAGACGGGAATTTCGCCATTTTCGGGGGTAGGGGATAAAGGTCCATTGGGGGAGGGGGGGAAAGCTGGAGCCGATGCCCCGATGGTACCGGGGGGTTTGGGAATTGGGTGACTCAACAACACGACGAGGTTTCAACACCTTTACCTTAGTACCACACTCTGTACTTGTCCCGAATGTTTGATGGGAGGTCGTCTCCGTCATGCCAATTGTCAATCGACTTGGGCCCGACCTCGATATTCTCGGCCTGTCCCCTGCGTGTGCTGGGCTACACGCGAGTACCAGTTGGCATTCCTATCCGTGTTATCGCCGTTGTCGGTGCCTAATAAAGATATTGAGCCTTTCAAGAGCTCCTTTTGGGGTTCATAATGTCTGATTGGACAATTCAGTCTATTCCTCTCTCCCCAGTCCCTGCATTATAGTATGCCGAACGTCTCCTTATGGACAGCGAGACATGGTTTAAGGTGAAAGCAGACCATCTCGTCGAATGAAACGATAGCAGACTCCTAACCCCGTCCTTAGCTTTGAAAGTCAAGGGCACGAGTCTGAATATTCTTTCGGGGCCTGGTCCATCGATAGTAGGAAGTCACCATACACTGCCTGCGTGGTCTCTATGGACGGCGGGTCTCAACCCGAGATTTACGACAGTGTCTTGCTGTTATGGCCATCTAGAAAGCGGGAACAATCATGGACATACTAAAAAGGCACATGGGCCGGGTAACAGGGACACAGAATCTCGATAGAATCTTAATGTAACCTATACGTCAAGCTTCAGCCATGCCACGAGGCGGTATGCTTGTGAGCAGAATAGGCTACAAGGTCCGATGTACCATCAAACCCCCGTGAGTCGGGAGCACTGTCGTTAGCTGAGGTGCCATCCGATCTCTGGCAGAAAGGGAGCTCCGAGCTCAGGTTCCCAAAACGTCGAAAGAAATCATGTCATTGGTCCATAATTGAGTACACTTGAGTTTGCCTCGTCCCGTTTAACCATTCCCATTAAACTGTGTCCATCACAGTTTCACTGGCCAGAAGAGAAAACACACAAAAGACCGACATGATACAAATCGCTAGTCCGTTTACGCCAGCCAAACAAAACAAGTCCCTTCCACATCATCATCAAGCCTCGGCCTGCTCTTCAGCAGCAACTCTGAGCTCGTAGTTGAGCTCGAAACATTCAGCAAGAAGCTCAGTGACGCTGCCCTGGCCTTCCGGGATATCGTCGTTGATCATGAATTTGCCATCTTGGCGCATGTTGTCAATCGAGTGAAGCTGCGAGCAAATCGTTAGTCCGGCTCGATTCATTGATAAAGCACAACATACCTTCATGCTGTAAGGGTACAGCTCTCTCGCAGATTGCACACCGCCGCTGTTCTTGACCTCGATGAGACACCGCTTGAGCGTTTGGAGCTGATTGTAGATTGGCAACAAGGCTTCTGAAACGGGCTCTGACGAGATCATCAACGAGTAGATGTAGGCGTAGCTTCTTCTGATAAGATAGAGCATCGTCTGCCGCACCTGTCAGTGGAGCTCTGTAAAAACTTGGATTCGTCCGACTTACACGCTGAGCGTAGAGCTCTGCAGACTTGCCCTCATCATCCACCCAGTTGCCATCGATTCTGCTCTCGTCGATCTTGTCCAATTGTCTCTGGAAGTCAAAGAGATCCGCCTCACGGAGGGACCATGCTTGCGTGATTGAGAGTTTCTCCAGCTCGTTGCGAATGCGGAACAAGATGTCGTACGTTGGCTTGAAAGAGTCGGGGATCACTCCTTTCCTGAGCAACAGTTAGCGACGTCATCGTGGGCGATGGCGTATAATGTACCTCTGAAGAACGAAATCAGACCACAACAGGCATTTCTCCAGCAAAGCAGTGACCTCGTCGAACCCGCCCGGTGTCTTTCCGTCCGAGGTCAACAGCTTGCCCTCCTGTCTCTTCTCCTCGATCTCTCTCAATTGGGCTTGAAGCTTCTGGACTTCCGATGGCGAGAACTGCATCACTGTCAGTTGTGTCGCGTCGCGCACTTCTTGATGCTGGTCATACCTTTGTTCGGGTGTTTGCCAGGGACATGGATCTCAGGATAGAGATCAGTTTCTCATAAGTCTTCGGCAGGGGGTCTTCAAAACGCTCCAATCGCTTTCGGAGGTTCGCCAGAGACTTGTCACAGAGCTCCAATCTGTTGGAAAGCAGGGTGATGAGGTATGGGGGATACTCGGTCTCGGTGGCCTTGACATTTTGCGCGAGCTTCGTCAGGGTGTGTGAGATGCTTTCCAAGTCCTTAACGGAGTATAAGTCGACTTCGGTGAGGTGGTCCAACAATCTCCGAATGGTAGAGGTCAGGGCATAGGCGGCTGGGGCTTCGTTGTTTCGTCCGATGGTCATGAAGAAGAGCGAAAGTAGTTGGAAACAGCTCTCCAAGACTCTGTCCACTGCAGCGCGGGTTAGCCGTTGACCCCGCACAGTCGGGACGATAGCGCATTACCTCTGTTCTCCTCCCTTCGGTCAGACGTCCGGGCCTCGTTGAGCAGGCGAACCTGCTCGATCGTCTCCTCGTACAGCGGGAGAACATCCTGGCTTCGAATATAGGTCGTGCGATCCTGCTTCAAGAGCAGAAGTCTGTCGCGGATCGCGACTAGCTTGTCGAGAATCTCCTTCTCGCGGTCGTCCCGCGGCGGGGGGCACGTAGGGGTATCCATCTCGCGTGACGTAATTCAAGATGGACGTTGGTTGCTGGGAGGGTTGTAGAGCTGGAATATGGGCGACTGCCGAGTGTTCGCGATCATGGACGGCCAAGGCATGCACCTCTTGCGCTGGAAGTCGATACCGTTGCAGGTCTGCCAATGATCCAACATTCAACGAAGCACGATAGCGGGGCTAAAGGTGATTCACAGGTCGGGACGGGAAGCTAAAGTCCGATCGTCGTAGTGTAGGTAGTTCCCCGGTGCACTGGGGGTTGTTGGTGTTGATGAACAGAGTTGTATTGGTAAGGAAGCCTGTGACAAAGAATGGGCTGCCGTGGCATCCGTAGAAGATGCGCAGATGGGATTGCGTATGTAAGTAAAATGCGGATGATGCGCTCGTTGGCTTGGCCGGAAACCAATGGAAAGGTGCACCTCAACCACCGACGCTTCTGATAGAGAAGGTGGGGGTGACTGACCTGCTTGGAAAGTCAAATCGAGGTATCAATGTGGGGCATGACCCAAGTGTCACCGACGGCAGCGGGGCAGGCATGCCCAGGTCGTCGATCCGGGATCCTATTGGCTCGCACCTGTATCCAATCAAAGACCTTGAAGATAGACCCACCACATACAGGCTTTAACCGAAACCGCCGAATGTTCATTAGGTCTTGAAAGCCCTGCCAAATTTTGACTCGGTGGATGACCTCGCGATGCCATATTGACTGCTCCTTTGCAAATCACACTCACCATCCGCGAAGACAACCTCCAGTCGCAAACGCCCAAACCAGTCACAATGTCGAACGCCGAGCTCGCCTCTTCCTACGCGGCCCTCATCCTCGCCGATGATGGTGTCGAGATCACTGTGCGTCCGCCTTCGAGTCACCCCGCCACGAAAAAATAAAATCACAAATAATACCAAAAAATCACGACAAGACCCGAGACTAACAATGGTGGAATTATAGGCCGACAAGCTCCAGACCTTGATCAATGCTGCCAAGATCGAGGACGTCGAGCCCATCTGGACCTCCCTGTTCGCCAAGGTACGACGCGACGACGATATTTTCCCACCGATTCGAAGAAGGACAATTGAAGGCTGATTCGAGATTCACATAGGCTCTTGAGGGCAAGGACGTCAAGGACCTGCTCTCCAACGTTGGCTCCGGTGGTGGCGCTGCTGCCCCCGCTGCCGGCGGCGCTGCCGCTGGCGGTGCTACCGAGGCTGCCGCCGAGGAGGCACCCAAGGAGGAGGGTACGTTATTTCCCCCAATACACCGAGTCGAATTGTGCGTGAACGAAATACTGACAGCCGCTACAGAGAAGGAGGAGTCCGACGAGGACATGGGCTTCGGTCTCTTCGACTAAGCGATTTTTCCTGCGACGATTTCCTTCCCTTTGTAACTTCAACTGCATGGATCCGGGGGTTCTACGATTCGCGCGATCATAAAGGATTGGGTGGAGGCACGATATCCTGCTGCCTGGACAGAGTAGCTCTCATACGATAATGTGAAGACGCTCTCTACGCGGAGTTCACTGGACATCCTCAAAAAATGAAAGTGGAATTTGGCATGCTTTGAAAATACCGGGACCCGCGCGGTGATAGGAGTGAGCCGTGGACGTCGACATGATACACCAGCTTAGCTTGAGTTGGAATGGCTTATGACTCTACCTTGACTTCTCGAGATTGGTGACTGTGATTGCTTCTCCGTCGTAAAGCAACGGCTATGCGGGGCAGTCGGCATATGCATATCACCATTTCCCACGTCATAGGCATGTCCCAATTAGGATGTGGTGATGAAGCATAGTGAGGCACAGTCTTACTTCATGCTTAGTCTTGGGTAAGACATCGTGCCTGTCGATGATGTTCACGATTGCTAGTGCCCATGGATATCTTACCGTGACACAACTAGGACATTGCAGATTGGTAGCCATGGCCTCGATATTACATCTACATGTCACTCAATTCCTGTACGCAGTTCATACAGACCCACCACTGATACTGTGCAGCATATCCGTACTCTATCTAATTTAGGTCGTCCATGATCGCACTGCCGGTCTTGTTCCCAGCTTACACTCCTGTCAACTTTGGTAGGATATAGAAGCAATAGGGTACGCACATCGACGGACAGACTGCGGAAGGACATTGTTTGCGGTTACTGTTTTCGATTCTTTTTGATACTCAATGGGTGTCTTTTAGCTAACCCCCTGACATCCTCAACGCCATCATCTAATGCAACCCTCCGTGATCCCCAGTTTCGTTGGCCCTGGTTGCTCCGCATCTTCCCGCTGAACCAGGTACCTCCAGCCCTCTCTCATCTCCAAAAGTGCTCATTTGACAATGAGAACGGCGCTGGGAGTGAGCCCTGCCTCCTTCAAGGTCTTGCTGAGATCCATGTGGCCCTCAAACGTCTTGCGAGGGAACGTGGTCGAGAAGCTCGTGACTGCCGTTCCGGTCTCGGACTGCAGCATCTGCGCCACCTCGAACAGCGTGGTCTCAGCAGGCAGAGTCTTGACGACGTTGCCACCCGCGGTCTGTAGGCGCAAGCGAGCCTCGTTGTGGTTAGCGACCGCCTTCGGGGCGGCAGGTGCGGCGGCGGCGGCCGGAGCCTCGGGGGCTCTTCCCTCTCTCGCGGCCTTGGCCTCCTCGGCCTTGCGGCGACGCTCCTCCTTGTCGGCCTCGATCTTGGCCTTGATGCGGCGCTTCGCCTCGATGTCGTCCTGCTTCTCCTGGCGCTTCTTGGCGGCCTCCTTGATCTGCTCCTTGCGCGCCAGCTCCTCCTTGGCCTCCTGTGTCTCCTTTGTGGCCTTCATGCGAATCTTCTCGTTGCGCTTGGCGTCCTCCTTGTCGAGGAGGGCCTGCTTTGCGTTCTTCTCCTGGAGCTGCTCCCGGAGCTGGATGAGCTTCTCCTTCTTCTGGTCCTCTGTCAGGGGAGCAATCTCCTCGGTCGACTCTGAGAAGTCGGTGTGATCGCTAGCATTTGGTGTTAGTACTCGGCACTTTTTGTACGTCCAGTAAAGAAGGCAATTCATGTGAGATGAATAAGATGTAATGAGCGCGGGGAAGTTCCTTGCGATGAGGGTAAAGACACTGGTGGTGGTTGAAACTCACGTCTTGGATGCATGGTATGAGGCAGTATCCTGAGATCTGAAGCGCTTGCCACACTCGTTGCAGACGAGAGACTTTGCCGTACCGCCGTTCTCAAGAGCCTCAATGTTGGCTTGGACCTCAGCGGCATCGTCATCGTCGTCCTTGGCGGCTTCAGCAGCGGCAGCAAGCTCCTCAAGGGGCTTGTCCTGGTTGGTCTCGAGCCACTCGAGAGCTCCGTTCACTGTGACCAGTCAGCAACACCATCTCACACTTATTTGTGACGACAATGGGTTGAAAATTGTCGGCCAGTAAGGGTACTCACGGTTTCCGGTCTTCTTCACGGCAAGCTCAGCCCGGGCCTTCTCAAAGCCCATGTCGAGCAGCTGGTTGAGATCTGACTGTGTCATTTTGGTGGATAGTGGTGGCGGATGGCGGGCTTATTTTTTCTTGGGTGGTGACCTGGATTCGTCTGCTTCGATGAGAACAGGAAGTCTTTAAAGAGTGTGTGTGAGTGGTGTGTGAATCACGGCTTGTATCCTCCTCAGCTTGCCTATCGGAGATGAGTTGAGTTGTGAATAAGATTTGGGATATTCCCGTTGCTGTATGAACAAAGCTGGTACGGCAGGCACAGTTGAGTGGTTGTTTCCTGAGACGTCATCTGCAGGTGCCTTTTCCGATGGGAGCTGTGGATAGAGGGGCAGCCTCAGTGGCTGGAGCGCGGGAGGGACCGACAACACGGACACTGGAGCTCTTCATTCCTCGTGCTTTGTCAGGTTCAGTAGGTACCTTAGGTACCTATTTGATCTTCTTCTTTCTCTTTCCATTCCCTCTTCGGGTTCTCTCTTCCACTAAAGATTTAGTCCTGTTTGTCCACAGCTGTCAAGACAGAAATGGTTCTCTTACTCTAAAGACAGAAGCCCGGGAGGTAGTCGTCGACGGAGCCAAGTACCGTCTTGGTACCTGGTATAATTAGAAGCGCCACATGAAGGGGTCCCTTCCACTTTTTAGTGGATGAACATGATCAATCAAACCCCCGGGCCCGGATTAACCACCCCTGCCCCCAATTCCCAAGGGAAGCTCTGAGTGGAGGCCCGAGGCCCCAGAGCGCGACTCCGATTGACCGTCCGCTAAACTTGTAAGGGGGCACTGGGGGGCTAGAGAGTCTAGAGTGTACCTTAATGAAACCTGGCCTGGACTGCCCGAGAACTGTGAGAGGAATTGGTTTGCCCAGAAGCCGGACTTTGTGTGCGCATCCATCCTCCCTATCCCAATCGAGTCCAGCCCAGTTTGCCCGTTGGCTACCTGAGTACATTGCCGTGGTGTGTATTACGTCGTGGGCTCTTGCGTGCGAAACACCTGCTTTTTTGCCCGTACTTCGTACCCGTCCCGAACCGTGGTCAATTACCCTGTTCGCCTGCTTTGCCTTCCTTACCTCACCATACCTTACCTACCTTACCACAGGTTCCCTCCTTACGTTCGTACTCTTTCAAGAAACCTTGACCTTGCCTTACAATCCATCGACTTTTCTAATATCGCCCCGCGCGCAACACTCCTTCGACCCCGACTCCGCCCCCCTCACATTTATCTCGCAAATTCTCTTCCTCCCGTTGCTCAGGCCGAGGCCTGTTTCGATTGCGCCGGATTCTCCTCATCTACTCTACATCACCATAAGCTTCGCACCCACCTCCAATCCACCATGTCGGTCGAAATCGAGCCCACCGAGCTGAGCTTCAAGCGTACGTCCCTCCTGCGCGCATCCCATGCGGCATCGTACTGACGTTTGCCTCCTTTCCAGGTCCCTTCACTGTTGAAGTCTCTCGGATTCTGCGGATCAAGAACCCGAACCAGTCCCCCATCGCCTTCAAGGTATGCAGCCATTCAATCCCTCGGGTGTCACGTCACCCTTTGCTCACAGAACTTGCGACTAGGTTAAAACAACCGCTCCGAAGCAGTACGATCCCTTGCATCCCGTGCAGCCTTCGTAAGCGACTGACGACATAGCCAGGTACTGCGTTCGCCCCAACTCGGGTCGTGTTGAGCCTGGACAAGATGTCGAGGTTACAGGTAGGTGCTTCGCGCAAACGCCAGGTGGTCACATGTCACTAACAGCATTCAGTCCTTCTCCAGGCCATGAAGACAGAGCCAGCTCTCGACACCAAGTGCCGCGACAAGTTCCTGGTCCAATCCGTCTCCATCACCGCTGACAAGGAATTTGCGAGCATTGCCAACATTGTAGGAAAACCCCTACATTGACTCCGAAGGTCTGGCGCACAGGCTAATCAAACGACTGATATTGCAGCTCGACCAGACTGACAAGTCTTCTCTCATCGAGCGAAAAATCCGCGTCAACTGGCTCAACGCCGAGGACACATTGTCCCTCAATGGTGGCAGCGCTTCAGCTGTCGCATCCACACCCAATCGCCAGTCCGTGGTCAACGGCGTATGTTCTCCGGCAGCTCGTCGACTCTGAAACGAAACACTAACAAATCGCAGGACTATACCCCCGATGTCTCCAACGTCTACTCGTCTCCCCAGCAAGATGCCGATTCCGGCAGCCCTGCGCCTGCTCCCCGACCGTCGACCGCCGATGTGAAGGACGATACCGTTTCTGAGAAGGCCCAGTCTACAGTCAGCGCTGCGAGTCACGTCGTCGCCAATACCGCCCAGGTCACTTACGAGGAGCTGAAGCAAAAGCTATCCCAGGCCGAGGCTAAGATTGCAAGTCTGCAGGACACTAGCGGTCTCCGGCAACGCGTCAAGACCGAGACCGAGAAGCTCCCCACGGCCCAAGAGGCTGCCGCGGCAGTGCGGCAGGGAGCCGAAGGTGTTTCGGTACAAATTGTCGCTATTTTGTGCTTGTTCAGTTTCCTCCTTGCTTACTTCTTCTTCTAAACCATTCTTGGTATTCCCTGACAATTCCCCTTTACACGACCTTTCTACTGGAGGACTTATGAAGCGCGCTAAGTAGCACTGGGTTGAGGCAGCATTGCCGGTGACGCCCTTGTAGTTAATTGCCAAAAGACAATGGCACGATGAGCGGAAGTGTGGCGACGCGGTGAGGTGGATGGAGAGGAGGACCATCGACAGACATGGAACGGAGTCAAATCACATGTAACCATGAGGATTCTTTTTGTCGTAACGGCGTGGCGTCCCGCACGCGAAGTAGTTGATTTCAGAGACTGATCTTATGACGATGTTCGTCTTCCAGTGCAGTGACATCAACGCAGCGCTCCTAGGAGCTGCTTTCTACAGCCGGAGCAGTATATCTGATGGTACAGAACTAGCTTAACAGGAGGTCGGCGTAGACGAAACCTGTCTTGCCCTTGCCCAAATTTAGGTTACATGGCATTATGAAAGTCGTCATGCAGCCTTCTCGCATATCTAACAATTGCTAAGTCTCATCAAGATCCACAGCCACGAGCTTGGAAGCAACAGTGAGCACTAGACGACCTAGCCTATGATGCAAAGGAACATGGTCGGACGTGGCTCTTTTTTCACGCCGTAGACCCAGAACCCGAAAGATTCTGGTCGACATGACATAGTTTCTTCTCGTCTTTTTGTCACTGAGGCTTTTGAAATACAGACTCCTGTGGATTGGAAGAAGAAAGAGGAGCCTGGAGTCAGTTTCCTCATCTAGCGTACAGCCATCTGAGAAAAAAATTGTATGTGACAAAAGCCAGGATCATGATCGTTTATCCCAAACTTCTTTTTCGTCTGTGTCCTGCCCTTTCGTACTGGAGACCTTGAACTTGTTTTTAAGTGTTCTATCATGTATGTTACCCGATAGCAAGCATAGCTTCCGTGGCGACTTGGTATTCTGACAAAACTTTTCGTCGTTGTGTCCAACGTAGGTTGCGCTACCTTTGGATTTCAAGAGACATATAGACAAAGAGTTATTTCCAAATATATTTCGTATTTCCACTTGATGTTTCATTAAACTTTCGTCATATCGAAAGAGGGGTCTATCATCCATAACCCGGTTCGTGAGCTAAATATATATAATGCTACTTATTCATCAGATAACTTTTTTTCTTTATACACAGATTTCGTCTTCCAAATTGAAAACAAACTTTCTTTCTCTCTCTCTGTCTCTCCAGTCCCGTTTTTCCTCATGCCTCAATCTCCTCGCGCGTCCAGTGTGCCACGGCACCGCCGCCAACCTTGCGACCGCCCTGCTTCCTCTTGACGCGGGAAGTGATGCCGACGTTGGGGTCGAGGATGAAGCGCCAAATGACATAGGTCCAGCTCTCGTGGCGGGGCAGCTCGTCGTAGAACTCGCTGGCGATGGCGCGGAGCTTGGGCAGACGGGTCCAGGGGACGGCGGGGAAGTCGTGGTGCTCGTTGTGCAGGCCGACGTTGTAGGTCAAGAAGTTGAGCGGGCCGTAATAGGAGAACGTCTCGGGGACGGGGATGTTGTTGGCGGCGTCGCGCTGGGCGGGGGTGACGGTCTCGTAGACGTAGTGCTCTGCGATGAAGTGGCCGGCGAGCGGGTGGAGGGAGCCGGCGAGGAAGGAGGAGAGGAGGAAGTAGAGGATGGTGTTGAAGCCGAAAGTCGAGTAGAGGGCGTAGTCGAAGGCGAGCTGGACGGCGATGTTGAGGTAGTGGACCCAGGTGAAGGGGACGCTGTAGACGAGGGTCGGACGGACGGCGTAGAAGAAGATTTGGAAGGTGCAGAAGAAGGCCTTGCCGAGGATGGAGTCGAAGAAGACGACTTCGAGGGCGGTGGGGAGGTCGGTGTCGAGGCCGTCGACGCCGAGGGACTTGTGGTGCGTCAGGTGGTAGGGCTGGAGGGTATCAATGTCAGTGATTTTTTGGTCTCTGGGGGGGCGTTTGCCATTGACAGCTCTTCAAGACTTACACGGAAGGAAGCGCTGTAGGGCACGCCGATGGGCAGGTTGGCAAAGATGGCGAACAGGCGGTTGGCGAGCGGGGAGCGGAAGGCGAGGTTGTGGGAGATTTCGTGGATGGCGAGGAAGAGGTTCTGGTTGGCGGTGGCGCCGAAGACGTAGCCGACGAGCCAGAACTTCCAGGAGAAGAAGGAGGTGTCGCGGAGGTACCAGGCCCAGAAGATTTGCATGGCGACGACGCCAGCGACGACGTACTTTGTCAGGGGCTCTGGCCCGCAGAGCTTGGTGACCTGTTTATGGAATTGTTAGTCATTTGGCAGCTTATAGGCAAGACATTGACCACTGCTGTAGAGCATTGCGGTTCGTGGAGTGAGAGAAAGGGGTATGTGGAAGCTTGTGTCGTATCGTAAAGTGCCATACCTCCGGGTGAGCCTTGATGATGGCGAGTCGGCGGGTTCGGTGCGGTTCCTCGGTGTAAGTCCAGAAGAAGTCCTTCTCTTTGGAGGTTTCGGTCGGCGCATCGGTCGTCAGCTTACCGGCGGCGACGCCATCGGGCGCGGCAGCGGACTTGCGCTTGGACGGCTGCGTCACGGTTGAGGCAGCGGACGAAGCCATTGTGCTGCGGTGTTTGAAGGGGGGTTGACGGTGGTGGTGCTTGTTCGTGGGTGTCGTGTTGAGGTGTGGCGCGCGCGGGCAGTTGTATCGAGAGAAAGAAAAAAAAGGCCGATATCAATCTGTCCTGACCCAAGAGAGAGAGAGAGGAGGGGCGAAAAGAGAACGAGTGTCGAATCAGCTGCTCTGGGACATTTAATTTATAAAAATGTCCAGGTCTCGAAGAGAAAGAGTGTGTCCGTGAGGAAACGAGAGTTTTCCACCGAGCGCACTTGTCAATGAAAAAGAGACGAAAACAAAAAAGGCTTGTGTGTGTTTCCCCCTTTGCGCAACAGGAAATGGAGTGTTGGTGGGAGAGAGATCATGCCTCGAAAATGGCAAATCTCCTGATGGCGGGCTGTTAGAAGTTAGGGGTATGGGAGAGGTACCTACCTACCTTGGCACGGGGGTGTGTGTCCCCTTCCGAAGCGGTCAAGCGGTGTAACAAGGTCGCCTCCCCAGGTACCGACCGCATTTCTGCATTTCTGCTCTTTCTGCGATCTGCTTTCCATCTGTTGTTCTCTTTTCTGCAACCTGTGGCGCAGCAAATATCCATGGATCAGTGGGGGGGTGCTGGAATGAAAATGGAAGGGCCCATAGGGGTCCCCTTCCTTGCCCCGCTGTGGCCAATCGTTCGGAACATGTGTTTTACGGTTTCTGGCTGCATGGCACCTCTCCCACCCATCCGTACCTTTCTCTCTCTTTTTCTCTCTCACCTCTGCATTCCGTACGCGGTTAAGATGGGCTTTGGCAGAACTCTCTAGAGCTGGTGGTGGCCGAGAGGAGCAAGGATTTGCTGAAAATTTCTCTCGTTTTCTTGAGACGTTGTTGGGGGCCATTGGGGGAGATTTGGGGAAATCCAAATCCTCCATTGAATCCCCACACACCTCTTCCCCCTCCACTCTGATATGCTGCCCTCCCCTGTCCGGCTTGGTTGCCACTTGTTGCGCATCTCGACCTTTTCCATGCCGTGCAATCATCCAAGCTATCCGTAAGGTAGATCAAGATGATGGCCATGCTCCATCTTGCAAGTTTCGAGGTATCACGAAGCTGTAACTGTTATTTTCGTCGCCTACGAGAAGCCAATGGCGATGATATCGCAGTGCATCACTTGACCAGCTCTGTTGTGGTATTCGTACGCCCTTTCTGTCGTGTCTAGTCCTCTGCAGCTTTGATGCGTGAGAAGATGGGATAAACCATGCTCTTCCAGGCCCAAACCATGTATCTTTTACTTTGTACCTCACGTGGTCTTCTCCTGGTTAGGTACGGATATCTCACGTCACACGACCAATGCGTGCGCGCAATGCGTGTTCCTGCGAGCAAGAGCATGATTGAAGAACATCGCCTCCGTCTGGGATAGTAGAGAGAGGTCCGTGGTGTATGTAACTGCGTATGACATGGGACGGAGGCTTTATGCCGAAGCGAACCCCACGTTTTCTTCTTTTTTTTCTCCGTGCCAACTTAATCGGATAGGATTGCCGCGGGCCGTCAGAGACATAGTGCTCTTATATGGCCGCATCGTTACATTGGTCTGCTAGATTGGCTCGTTCAACGTGCCGTCCTGACTCCTTTTCATTTACCCGTCATATACAACTGCCGTATAGCCAGAGAGTTTCTGCCCATCGAGCAGGTCTTCGGAGGGAGATGGACCGCAAGAGGGGGTTGGGATGGTTGACATAAGAGGCAGTCAAAAGAACGATATTGGCATCATGATGGTTTTAGACTCGAACTCTTGCACCTGCGGTGACAATCATTCTTAACTTGCAAGTATCCCGAAGGACCAAAGAGCAACGTTTCAACAATGAGATTCGTCCTACTCGCCACGTCCCTGGCGTCCCTCGCCGGCATCGTTCTCGCTAAGCCTGAGAAGATCAGGGGCGTAACCGACCCCGTCTACCACTTGTACCTTCAAGCCTATCCCAAGGACAAGTCGATCCCCGTCCTGGGACCCGAGGCGTCGGCGGAGTTCTTCAACATTGCCGGAACTATACAGAGCGCCAACTCGAGCTCGTATCTCAATATTGGCGGCGATGCTACGTCGTACAAGACTCTTCAGTTGAGCAACGCCTCCGGCACCAGCGCGTGGGGCCTCGAAGGGGATACTATAATTACTACCCAGAGCAGTAGTTGGGGACGTCGTATGTTTCCCTCCTCATTCATGCGATCAAGATGGCCCCTTCGTGGTCTATCTAGAGCTGGGACTGACCAAGTTTGGTAGAGTTGAATTTCTTGGTGTGTCAGCTGGACACAAGCTACTGGCAACTCTATCTTCAAACCGGGAGCGATGTGCCAACTGGGAGGAACTGCAGCAATTATCAGACGATCCATCTGCCTTGCCTCTGCTAGATGGGTTCGATCTGAGATCGGGTTCGTTGCACAGAGAAGAGGAGCTGAGTGGACGGTGTCTAGCTACGTTGCATGTAGACAATCGATGGTCGTCAAAACTAAAGTCGCGAAAACTGCTTTTGGCATGGATCATCAAACGAAGGGCTAGCGGTTGAAGAAACAATGCCCCCGAGGCACGCGTCTTTGTGTGACTTACAATGCTTGGTTTCAGTGCTTGGCATCAAGGATCAAGGAGACCGTTGGGTATCATCCAGCGAATAATGCAACTTGACAAAGGGCTACATGGAATGTTCTTACTAGACTCTCCGCCAACCTGATGGGCGTCGGCATTTGTGACTTGGGTATTGTGTTTGTGCAATGACTCTCATGAACTTTGAGAATAGGCATCTGGTACAGCCTTTTTCTGTTGCAATGAATGTTAGACCAGCATCTGGCGTCAAAAGCGGCGCTGTAGGTAGTTGATGTCTAGAATAGACCTAAAACAAATTCATCGAGGTGAAAATGCGAGCTCTTGAAAGCAATATGAAGTTGAGATGTATCAAGAGCCAAAGGGCAAGACATCTGCCTGGAATCGAGATGTGTTAAGTAACTCAACGCTAGTCCGGCAAAGACATAGAGGTCAAATTTGGGTACAGGCCCGGAGATATTGAGCATCAAGTACGATCAAAGTATCGTCGACTGAACTGAGAGTGCCATGCCCACAGCTACCTCAAGAACCCCGCTTTGGTCCGAGGCACGTCAAGATAAGATGAACCAAGACCAAACCCCTCTCAAGCCTCAGCTGGGCATGTTAAGTTGACTCTGAAGGATAGAAATGGCTTCCAAAACGTTCATGTGACTGGCAGCAGCTTCATATCGTGATGACTGGTTGAGTGAGGTTGAAGCAGAGACATATTGAAGAGGGGGTTCTCCATGATTGGCTGTCACATGCAGATAAGTCAAGCTCTCAAGTCCAGACTGGCAGATGGAGAAGAGCAGAAGGGACCAGGGCAGGGATGGCACCAGAGGGGGCTAGAATGGCACCAGCACCTCTCCAAGTGGAGGCCGACCGTTTAGCTGCAGGGCGCCTCTGCAACGCTGCAATAACCGCTGCAATAATACCAAGAACTTGTCAGCTTGTCAGGCCTTGGGCAGGCTGGCCCTGCTGGGATTCCAGGACTTGGAGAAAAGATGGGATGGACTGGACCTGCGTTGCTAATCTGAAGTGGGATCGAACCAGCCCAGCGCGGCCACGAGAGAGAAACGATAGGGGCATGCGACCTGGGAGAGACACCCACTGATTTACTTGTGATTTTTTGGTGGTGTTCCAAACGGTGGCCGTTGGTTCCTCACTCTTTGTGCATGTGAGGTGTTGCATGCAGTCTGTGGTCTTATGTCTTGCAGATCATGATGTCTCATTTCTGCCTGCCGCAGCAAAATGGAACGCCGTCACCGTTTTTTCCTTTACTCTACTCCGTACTGAATACAAGGTAGAAATTAGACATGATGAAATAGAGAATTAAAGATGGGAGGGAAAGCTTGGGCCTTGTCACATCAGCCTGAAAGCTGCAGCTTCACCGCCCATAGGCTTAAAGTGTTTAAAGAGGTTCGTTCCATCGTTCCTCCCAGGTGGTACCTAAATCCAGGCATTTTAGCAGGTAAGGTACCTTGAGGTAGCGCCACGTGAAGATAAGAACGTAGGCGAGCAGAACCGCCTTTAACGATAAGCCCAAGCTCCCACCTGCGGTCCGCTTCCTGCCACCTCGCCCAAAAATCTACCGGCAGGTTGACACTTTGGTTGGTTTTCCCTTAATCACCCAGGTTTCTTTCCCGACCGCCGGACCTGGACCGACTTCGCACCTTCTCTGCTTCGAGTTGTCTGTCTACCATTTTCAGCAATAGAAGACTCTGTCAATAGCCTCTGACTACCTCTGCCGAGTTCCTGCCCTCGAACCATCGAAACGAGACGATCCACCTCCGCCCTGATACAAACACCATCAACGGTCCCCTCACCGTCTCGCGTGCTCTCCACCACCAAACTAATAAGCTCGACCCTCTCCAAGTCTGCGACGACATTTACGAGCGCCTCTCTGTGTCGTCTCCCTCGACTGTTCGCGACTACGCCGACTCGCCGTCCACAGTGGCCGGCCATCGTCAGAAACACACCCCTCTGTCGGCGCGGCTCCAGCAAGCCAGCTCGTCGCGCCGATGTGGTGGTTCCTCCGAATCGTCGCCAGTGCCATCTTCCTGCTGAGCATAGTCCTCTCCATACCCGTCGCCTTCGATGTCGGCGGTAGGGACAGTGGACTGGCCTACAGTCTCGCCCTCTCCGCCTTCTACTTTGTCTACTCGACCATCGCCGTCGTGACCCCCGCAAAGTCGCGCGTTCGCTGGGCCATATCCGTCATCCTTCGGCTTTCGCAGTGGGTTGTCATTCCCGGACTTTTGATCTGGGCCCTCAGCCGCTTCGCCGTCGACGCTGGAGCTACAAATTGGGTGGAGCGGACGTTGCAAGGCATCACCACGTCCAAGTCGACGTCATGGGGCGAGTGGGTGTTTGGCGAGGGTGGTGTTATTGAGACCATAACCTTGGGCGGCTGGGATAAGACATTGAGGTACTCGAGTCCGGTCTTCCAGCTTCTCGAGGGATTCTGCACTCTGCTTGTTATTCAAGCTGCCGGGCAGATCACCAAATGGCTCGTCAACAGAGGACGAAGCGACACTTGGATCGTACGTGGAAACCCCTCTTCTGTGCCCCGACTCTGTGAGACCCAAGCCAGTCACGAACAGCCTGGTCATAGCCTGGTCTCACAGATCCGGATCGCAGACCTTGGCCATTGCGAGACTTACTGACGGCTTTGACAGATTATCCTGCTCGTTATCTCTGGCAGCGTGCTTGCGAGTGCCGTTTACTTCCTCTGGCGTGTCGCCCACTTCCCTTGGATCGACAACTCTGATGCCATCTTGATTGGTGTCACCATGACCTCAGCGTTCTTCCTCTGCGCGTATGGAATTGGCAGCGGGCGCGGCAACCCTGTCGAGTCGTCCCTACTCTTCGCATACGTCGTTCTCTGCGTCTACCAGATCTTCACCGACTACCTTCCCTCGGAGTCCACAGAGGCAGATCAACACCAGTCCTCACAGCCCGACTTCCCACCCTTGCCGCCGATTATCATGGCATCATACTCGACTCTACTTCACATGCTCGGCTCCCTTCCCCATGCCGTTCACTCGTCTCTCAGTCTTCTGTACGCAGCGTTCCAGACCATTACGCCTTCTGTCATCATTTCTCTCGCCTTCCGACTTCTTGTCTTTTACTGCGCTACCCGGATTATTCCTGCTGTCCGCGAATCAGGGGCGAGGGCTCTCATGGAGGAACCAACTCTGGAGGAATCAGACGCTGCCAACTGGCTACTTGGGATCATCACCTACTTCTCGCCTTCGATTCTCATCGCCATGTACACAAGCTTGCTTCTGCAACACTTTTCAACGAATGATGGACCAGATGGGTGGACGTTGAGAGGAGGCGACCTGGGCGGCAACGTCTGGCGCTGGACAAACGTAGCAGCGACAATGACCCTGTACGCGATCGAGTTGTACTTGGGTAACGAGGATCACGATGGCGGTCTGACAAATCACTGGAAGATGGATTAAGAGCGAGGTTGCCAACACTCGCGGAACAATTCGACAAAATTTGCTTCTCGATGGCATGGGGGGTTGCCCTATGTTGTCAGGACTTAATGAGTGCAGTCTGCCCAGGCAGGCTAACAAAAACGGATCGATCATCGTACATAGGTCGTAATGACACACGGGCTAAGGGCACGGAAAGGGAAAGGACAGGCACAGAAATACGGCGTTTAGGGGGTGGAAGTCTGCATGCTCGAATGGCGATTCTTTTACTTGCGGACTCGGCTGAATAGCTCAAGGGAATTTTGATGATTGTTGCTTGAGAGCACTGACCGGTGCCTAGGCTTTTTCCAAACTACCTACATTAGTTAGGAAACTCATCTTTTAAATCAATGGTCTTGAAAATGTCTCTTGTCGTACTGCTGACGATCGCCTTGGAGGATTGTAAAACTTGTTCCATCGACAATGGGCCACGATCTTTTTTTATTAAAGTTCCAGAATGGCTTGTTTCTTGAGCACTATTGCAAGTGTTTGGTCCTTTGATGATCGGGGTTGACCTTCGGACGGGCTGTAAACTGCAAGCTTGCTCGGCCATAACCACCGGGCGCATCCACTTTGACGTTGCGCTCGCTCCGTCGCAACTCCGTCTTTTCTGGGGGCCTCGGCAACTCCGCGCTTGTCAACCTCACCTCTCTCACTTACACCTCTTCATCCTAACAACATCCGTCCCTCGGTGGTCTCTCAACGTCGTTCTCCTTCGAGATACATGTAAGAGACAAAAGACTTTCCGCAAGTTTCATCGTCTCATAACATTGTATTCACCGATACGTATTTGACCTACGCATCCAAACAGCCATGGCAGCAACGCACAACCCGATGCGGGCATCCACCCCGCCGCCCGCCGTCTCCAAGACGACGATCCACATGTCGGGTCTCCTCTGTGACGTCTACGGTCTCGAGGAGCTCGTCGCGCGCAAGCAGAAGCCGTCGGCGGTCTCGTGTCTTTGGCTTCATCATCCGCGTTTGCGTGCAAAGGAGGACATGGTTGATATCGCGAGCCGGGTGATTTCCCAATGGGAGGAGACGTCGTCGTCGTCTGGAAGTACCAGGGCCCTCATTACCGTGGCGTTTGACCAGCAGAACCACGGCACCAGGACAGCGTCGGCGACGGCACGGGATAGCTGGCGCGAGGGGAACAAGACGCACGCGCTGGATATGTGGGGGATGGTTTCGGGCATGGTGGCGGATACGAAGGGGTTGTTGGATGTTGTGGAGGGGTATGTGAAGATGGAGCTGGGGCAGAGAAGGAATGGGGAGGCGGCGGAGGAGGGGTGGGAGATTGATCAGCATCTTGTGTTGGGTGTTAGTTTGGGTGGGCATAGTGCGTGGCAGACTTTGTTTAGGGAGGAGAGGGTTGAGGCTGGGGTTGTTATTATTGGGTGTCCTGATTATATGGGTAAGTCCTCTTTCTTTCTTTCTTCTCTCGGCTGCAGATAGGGGATATGTTTGTCTTTTGAGATGGTGAGGTATGAGAGAGGGGTGAGAGAAGGTCTTGACTAATTCGACTTGTGTGAAACAGCTCTCTTGTCGGACCGCGCGAGGTTATCCAAGCTAGCATCCTTTTCCGCACAAGACAACGGCGCCTCGTTCCTGGGCAGCAGAGACTTTCCCCGCGACCTCGTGGCTTCTTGTCTGCGTCAAGACCCCAAGGGTATCCTCTTTGGCACCGGTGCGGTCTCGGAACGGGCCGCCAGCCTCACCAAAGACGAACAGGAGCGTCTGCGCGGCGTCCTGGACGGCCTCCACCTACACGGCAAGAAATTCCTCATCTGCTCCGGCGGCGAGGATAAGTTGGTGCCGTACGCCATGTCGGCGCCCTTTGTGGAGTTCTTGACGGCTGCTACGGGGACGTGGTATGCTGATGCCGGGGTCGAGGTTGAGAATAAGGTGTATGAGGGGGTTGGACATGCGTTTAGTCAGGGGATGGTGGAGGATTCGGTGAGGTTTTTGGTTGGGGCTGTTGCTGGGAAGGATGCTGGGGCGGGAGCTGGGGAGAAGTCGAAGATTTGAGAGATACAGAGAGCAGAGCAGAGTATGCTGAGGGTTCAAGGAGGTTGAAGAAAAGGGGTTGAATATGTATAGATACCGTCTTAAGCCCACGGCCTCCTTGCATCTTCTACAAGCGCCTCATGCCCGTCTACAAATCTCGTAACGAGCCCACTCTGTCTCCTCTCCCCCTCGCTCACGAATAAAACATCTCCCAAACCCCACGGATTCCTCGCCCTCCTCTTGCCCGCTAGACTCGCGCCCACGCCGTGCGGGTCAACCGTCCACTCGTCCGCGGCGTGTTTTACGCCCGCGATGGCTCCCGCTTTGGAACCGTCACCACGGTCCTCCTCATCATCATCCTCGTCGTTTCTCCTCTCCCCGGGGGTAGCGTTGGTCGTCGTCGAGGCGGCAGCAGCGCCCTTCATCCCCGGCGGATCGATCCCGATATACCTGACCTTATCCAAGGGAAACCCTATGGCGGCGCAGTGGCCGTCGAGGATGCGCGGTTGTTTGAAGGCGTGGCTTATGATTGTGAGGGTGCGGGGGTAGGTTGAGTAGAGGCGGTGGAAGAGGAGGAGGGAGTGGAGGATGTTGTGGTAGGAGTCTAGGGCGAGGGTGTCTGTGTGGATGAGGGATGTTATGGGAGGAGGTGGAGATGGCATGGTGGTGGTGGAGGAAAGGGAAGAGGAGGGAGGAGGTGGAGGAGGGAGGATGCCAAAGTAGGTGTTTGCGGCGGCGAGGTTGGCGTAGGATTCTGCTTCGGAGAGGGGTGTTTCTTTACGTGTTGGGCCTCTTTTGGTATTGGGAAAAGGGTACGTTAGTTTTTACAGATATAGAGGTATAAGATGTTATCCCATAGAAGGGTTGAAATGCATGGCGATAACATGAGAATACACTGATGGATGTGACGTGACAACCAGACACGAACTAAACTAAAAAGTAAAAGTGGTCGGGGGCGGACTACGGCACGTACCCCGAAAACACGAGCGCGGAAGCCGGGTACTCGTCCCGCAGTGCCGTCAGCCCGGCCTTGATGTGCTCGATAAACGTCGGGGTTTCGCCGGTTTGGAAGTCGGCGATGAGCCACTCGGACTCGGCGGCGCCGTTGGTGAGGCCGCCGGTCCAGATGCCGTGGCAGCAGACGACGATGAGGTTGGTCGGGAGTGGTGTTGCTGTCATTGTTTCGATACGTATATACCCAATTCGGGAATTTTTTGTTTACAAATGTGAGGAGACAGTATTTGTGAGTTTTAGTTCTGGAGCTTTGATGTGCATTGTATTGTGGATCATGTGATGTTGGTGGCGGTGAAAGTTGCAACTTCTCCATTGCAAGATACACCTTGCTCATTCTCATTATTGAGCTTTGAAGCTGCCACCCTCAAGGTAGCCTGCGTCGCACACTGTAGATATACGGCACGAGAAAAGGAAAGGGGATCCTCGATGGATTATAGACCAGTGAGGTAGCGGATTTACAATTACTTTTGATTATCCCGTGACTGCTCACGATAGAATTCTATAAGCGTCACCGACTAGGTAGAGACTCCCCGTCAAGACAACGGGACCGTCTTTGGCGGTCTCAATAGCCCATCTCGTAGCTTCTTTGAGACCGTCTTTGCTTTCAAACACCTCCTTGGCGCCCGCGCTCGAGGCCATCTCCCTCAAGGTCTCCAGCGGCAAAGGCTCGACCCACGGCATCGTCCCCCGCCGAGAAAAGCCCACGCAGGCGACGTTGTCTCCGGGCCTGAGCAGCGTCCGCAGCATGCCACCGGCATCCTTCCCGTCTTGCTTTGATACTGACACGATCCACGTCACGGGCTTATCGGCGTCTCGCAGACGTCGCTCGACATATGTGGACAACGTCTCGGCTGACTGTGGGTTATGAGCGCCGTCGATGAGGATGGGATTTCCTTTACGTGACGGCTGCTTCGCCTCGACATCCAACCATGACAGTCTGCCCAAGTGACTGACGTCCTTCAAAATCGGCAGGGCCTTTTCCACAGAGAGATCGAGGTGCGGATACGCGAGCTGGAAAGCCGCAATGGCGCACGCCATGTTCTGCGCCTGGTGCGGCATCAGCTCCGAGTCGTACAGAGTCTCGAGCAGACCGGGCTGGCTCGTGGTGAGGTGCAGCGGCGCTGAGACGCTAGCGGCGTGCTGCCGGAAGACCTCGAGGACCTCGGGCGGGTTGCTGCCGTCGACGACGCACGGCACGCCGGCCATCATGATGCCGGCCTTTTCCTTTGCGATCTCGGGCAAGGTATTGCCGAGGAAGGCCTGGTGGTCGAGGCCGATCTTTGTGATAACGGTAACGCTCTTGCGGCGGAGGGCGTTTGTGGAGTCGAGGCGGCCGCCGAGGCCGACCTCGACGATGCCCATTTGCACGTCGGCGCGGCTGAAGGCGCCAAAAGCGATGAGGGTGGTCACCTCGAAGAGGCTGAGGGCCTCCTGGGCGACATCCTGGGACAGGCGCGCCTGGTCGTCGGCGAGGATCTTGCGGTTGACGTCGGCGTAGACGTCTTGCGCCACGGGTGTGCCGTTGATCTTGATGGCGTCGCGCGGCTCGATTAGGTAGGGCGATGTGAAGAGGCCGTTTGAGATGCCAAAAGATTTGCACAGGGCTGATAGGTACGTACAAGTGGTGCCTTTACCGTTTGTGCCGGCGACGTGGATAGCATCCCACTTCTGGGGGACACCCTCGAGGGCTCGCGAGATGCGGTGCAGGCCTAGGCTGATGCCTTTCATCGCCATGTTGTCTGTCTTTTTCCTGCCAGGTCTGGTCCTTTGCCTGTCTGGTAGAAGGTGCCGGAGTGATTCTGGCTGCGTCCGGGTGTTCAAGCCCAGAGGATCACCAACGGTCTATCCGTATCTCGGTCTCGGCTCTGGATCCGACGGACACTTTTTCGTATAGGGCTGCTCGGACTTCGTAGCCCGGCAACGACTCAATGTTGCTCTTCTACTCCCTCAGGAGTGAGTCACTGGAAAGCTGTGGGAATGATAGGGTCTTGGATTATCAGGATCACGAGGTTCGTTTCCGGTGCCGAACGATGTCAGCGAATGATCATGAATGAGCATTCCAGATATTTGCATCTGATCCTGAACGTTAACGGAGTGGCTGCCGTTATGTGCAAGCAGGCACGGCAGGCACGAAGCAGCTCAAGCAGGTGCCATGGGCAAGGTTCCTGCTCCAATGGTAAGGCGAGGAGTACGTACCGAGATGAATCCATGGAAGTTGGCAAGTGCCGCTCCAGCCACACTTCCATTGGAGGCAGGCGTGGAGGGCAAGGCAAGGCAGGCACAGGCTCACCACGGACCAGTGACCATACAACGGAAAGGCTCCGTGATTGGCCAAAGATGACTTGCTTGAGGAAGCCCGCGCCACAGGGGGAAAGAGAGAGGCAGAACTCCGTGACTGCGACCGGGGAGGGATGGCCCGGCCAGCCACTCACAAAAAAGAAGTAAAGCGGCTATTCCCCAAAGACCCGCGCTTTTTTCCATTTTCCTTCCTGTTCCTCCTTTTTTTTTTTTTTTTTTTGTCCCGGAGTCTGCCCCCCCCCCCCCCCCCCTCCCGTCCTCTCGCCTTAGGTTGCTCCATTTCGTCCTTGACCGTCAATCCACGTTCAGTCCCAGTGGCCCCGTCCCAGTCCGTCACTGAACCCCCAAGTCCAAGTCCCAAGTCCCAAGTCCCCCAATACTCGCTTCCGCCTTCCCGCCTGTCCGCCCCACGAAGGGAAAGCCATTTCGGCTTCGCGCAACTCGCCAATTCCATCGCGAATCTATCGCGAAACACGGTACCGCGGACCCATTCTCCATCACTTTCATCACGACGACAATCGCACCCATCTTGCGATCAACCCGAGACTTTGCACCGCCTATCTACCATCCCCGCTGCCTCTGAATTCAATCCATTCGTTGTGCGCGCGCCATTAGTTGGTCACAATGGGACTCCCGTAAGTTTCTCGCCTACCCCTGCGGCTTTCCTGGTCGCGCTGCATTACCTTTGCCTTTGCGCCTGGCCTGTGGGACGCTGGCTCAATCTCGACGACCTGCCAGTCGCATCGCGTAATCGCATCCGCTTCCACTCCAATGCCTCCATCCATATCCATCTCGTTCATCATAAATCCTCCGCATACTCTCGTTTGCGATTCGTCTACCGCCTCCAAAGACTGCCTTGGCCACGTCGTCGCCGCGGTCGCTGCCGAGTTGTAATCCAGTCGCGGTGAATGCAGACTGCTTCATACCCTGGCCTCGCATTCCATCACTAACATCATATCTCCCCATCCGCAGACTCTTCATCGCTCCCGTCGAGTCAGATGTTCCCGCTCAAATCGGCGACAAGTCTGCAGCCACTCGGCATCCTCGCTCTACCATTCGCCGCTCCCGCCGCAGCGTCGACGCCCGCCCCTTCCGCCGTCGCGCCGCCCTACTCCGCGATAACTACCCCACTCCCGGCCCCGAACCTATCCCGCGCGCCCGGTATCCATGGATCGAATCTGGCCATCCTCCGCCTCCCGAGGCATACGTTGCACCCCCCTCGCGATCGACTCCTCCAGTGCCCGAGCGCCGTAATCCCGCTGCTGAAATCATCGAACGTGTGAACGAAGCCCGCAATCGTCGACCTGACAATAATGAGCCCAGCGAAGCTCGCCTGATTTCCATGTACGGTGATGAATGGGTATTGAACCGCATGCCCAGGCTCTCCAGCGGGGTTACCGTCACACCCCCGACCGGGGAAGAGGATGCCAACTGGCAGGAACCCGACCAGGCTCAGCTTGAGGGCTCATCATCATACGCCGACTATAGAGAGCGACGGAGATTTCGTCGGGCACAGCTCGATCGCATGTCAATGGTAGGCATTTTTGACTGTGACTCTGGGGTACGCTGTTGACTGACATACCAAGTAGCCCGCACCGCCAGTTGCAGCACGCTTTGACCGCAGTCCCGAGCATGCAACTTCCGCCAGGTTTGCAGGACGTATGCGTAGACCGGACTTGGAATCGCAACCCGATCGCGCATCGTCCCGGCGCGTACGCCGGATTCGTCCGTTTGGACACTTGATCGAAGCTTCTCTCGCAGACGGCCTCGGCGACCGTAACAGAAGCATCAGCCCTGATGAAGATGGCGTCTGGGATACACTGTTGACCACGTTGACGCCCGACCCGCAGCCTCCCAGTGCTGGCTCGTCCTTCGCTTCGGCTTCGGCTTCTGCGTCTGCTTCTGCATCGCAATCACAGAGCGCCGGCGCATCCTCTCGCACGTCTGTAGACAGACCCGAAAGGGCTGAGGAGTCTACCGAGCAACCTTGCGAATCCGGGCTTGACAACTCGGATAGCGAGGGCCATGAAGACTTGCACATGGGAAGGGGCTGGCCTGATCACTGGTCGATGAACTACCCATCCAGGCACCGGCGATTTGTCTCTGACCTGGACGCGAATGATCCCAGCAGAATATCCTATGTCCGTGGTGACAGGGTTCCGGGAGCTATGAGGGCTATGAGTAGCCGCGACATCGAAGAGATGCGAAGTCGTCGGCGACTGGAGCTCGCTCGGCACTACAGGATCTCGACTCGAGATCCCACTCCGCTACCGGAGTTGCTCGACCACATCGTTAGAGATTCGAGCGAGGAATCACGAGATGCAGGCGGCCAAGGGGATGGCGACGGCGATGCAGGGCCCCCGAGCCGCACCGAGTCGTCCAACGACAACGCACTGGAGGGTATGCAGGAGATTGTACGGCATCTCGCACGGCGACAAGACATTCCCGACGAGTGGTGGGCAGGTGCTGGGCTTTCCCGGACTCTGCCAGATGAATCTTGAATCGCGCACGATCCTTCGGGCTACGATTTTCTACGTTTGACAAGAAAAAGCGAAAAAAGCCCTGGGAAGTAGAAGAAACTTTCCAAGGCATGATGTTTGGAGTATAACGGCTATAGGACTTGCCATTGGGAGGCAGTCAGGGTTCACTTTTGGGTTTATATTGGCGCCATGCAGTTATCTGGGCGGGCCATCTGTATAATACGTGTACTTTGATGGAAGCGTGACGGTCTCGAGTTTGGTGATAGCAGAACGGGTGCCGTACGGGGAGGGAGGCATGCGAGAAACCCATGAGAAAAAGATCCAGAGGATCTACACTATTCGGGGCGGAGAACCATCAAGAGAAATGGAGTGGCCGTTGGTCATATT